GTTCTGGTCAACAAGAGCATTTATGGGTGAGGTAAAGTATAGGAAAACACTCTTCGAGTTTGTGCGTCGGTGGCACAGTGGTTAGGACTCTCGCCGACCATGCACATGGTCCGGGGTTCGATCCCCTGCCGGCGCACACCCGATATCTATGGTCGGCCTGAATTTGGGCTACCGATATCCATGCTGAAAATTCCACACTTGTACTGAAAATACGGTGTGGAATCAAGCTGTAAATCAAAATAAAAAAATATATATGTGTAAAACGTGTGCACTGTGGTGGTAAGTAATTCCATATTAGTTTTTTTATCAGATATATCACACAGTGAAACAGTATTATTAACTGGATGACGTTTCGAACACAATTTATTCTGTTCATAATCATATCAATTATAATCACACGACTTTGAAACTTGAGTTTTATAGTTTCCTTTGTTCTCTCCTATTTGTCGTCGTTGGGGTAACGGAAGTTTCCAGATATCTGGCTGGACAGGTATTGAATCATTCTTATTACACGTGTTTGCAGTTGATTCGATTGTATGGTTTTATGTAATTGCATGTAGTGAGTGCTATTGCTGAACTATTCTCTAGATTTCTTGACTCGAATAAGATAAGAAATCTAGAGAATAGTTCAGCTATAGCATCGCACCACATGCAGTTACACACAACCATACAATAGGATGATGCAATAAGATGACAGTCTCAAAATCTAATATAACAGCAGGGTAGAGGGAGAGATTGATAATGGAAGCTTTGTTTATCGAATCAACTGCAAGCACATGTAGTAGGAATGACTCAACACCAGTTCAACCGGACATCTGGAAAATTCTACTACCCCTATGACGATAAATAGGAGAGGACAAAGAAAACTATAAAACTCAAGATTCAAAGTTATGTGATTATAATTGATATGATTATGAACAATAAATTTTGTTCGAAACTGTGTCATCCAGTAAATAATACTGTTTCAATGTGTGATACATCTAATAAACAAACTAATACGGAATTACTCTTCGAGTTGTTGTCGGCAGGTGGCTACGAAGAACCCAACTAACTGTATATTTCTTGAATATGCGATTTATAATTCCTTGTTTCTATGGAACATCTAGGTTTCGAACAGTATTAGTTCTTTCTCTTTGGATGTTTTTAAATAAAGGAGCTTCGACAGCGATTTCCTACTGAAATGTTTCTGAAAGATCCCCATTCCTTACTCATTGTATCTCACAGCATTCCCGATAGATTCTCTTTGCAAGAAAGGCGATGAAATGTCTTTTTCGGTTGATTAAGATAAAGCTGTGAAAGTTTGTCATCTGTCCATTCTCTTTAACCCGTATGCTTAAACAAAGAAAGTCAAAACGAAAAAAACAAACAAAATTTATCCTACTTTCCATTGATTGATGGACGCTTATTTCAGGATAAATTTCGTTAATCAGCTTTCTAAAATTTACAAAACAGCTACTTTTAATTAATAATGATGTTCATACTTTGTTTGTTTATTATAGAATTCATGTTTGTTTATTGTGTAATTGAATTTGTGTGTGTGTGTGTACATGATAACTAAAATTCATCAGAATGTTTCCAAGCGTTTGTAAACAAAATATTTGAAGTTATATATGTATGTCCAAACCAAGTTTACTTTGAACAGTTTGAAAAAATTTAGGCATTGGGTATATGAGCCAGGCGTTAATTTCTACAGCCGACAAATAATCAATGATCGTGGAAAACACCCATATGGACATTAGAAAGAAGAGAACACGAAGTTCAGCAAAGATGTCTGTCTTTTCGGCGATTTCATTTTCAAAAGCTGTACAATCGCATTTAAATACGGAATTTTACATGGAGACAATTCTTGTTTGATTCTACATAATTACGACGGCGAATAAAAGGTGATAATTATTTCCAACTAGATATGGTTTTCACGAGAGGCTTAGAAACAAAATTACACAGGATTAGAACGGATATCAAGTGTGTAAAAATGAGCATGGAAACAAAATTGAAATAATAATTTTCAACTTGAGATGGGAGTTAGGAGGTGCGAATATAGATTACAAGAGGCTTAGAAATTATACAAGGTTACAATGAATTACAGGTGTATAGAAAATGAGCTAATTGATAAATGAGAAAATTGTAACCCTGTATAATTTCTAAGCCTCTTGTAATCTATATTCGCACCTCCTAATTCCCATATCAAGTTGAAAATTATTATTTCAATTTTGTTTCTATGCTCATTTTGACACACTTGATATCCGTTCTAATCCTGTGTAATTTTGTTTTTAAGCCTCTCGTAAAAACCATATCTAGTTGGAAATAATTATCACCTTTTATTCGCCGTCGGAATTATGTAGAATCAGACAAGTATTGTCTCCATGTAAAATCATGTATTTAAATGCGATTGTACAGCTTTTGAAAATGAAATCGCCGAAGAGATCAACATCTTTGCTGAGATCGTGTGAATGGGAGTTGAATCAGTATGGACTAACATGGATACAGGTGAAAAGTACAGCAGAAGACAGAAACAATTGGAGACGTACGGTTGATCCCCTATGTTCCACTAGGAACCCAAGGGAACAATAATAAAATAATTATAATGACTTCCCTACCCGACCTTCTAGATAACTACAACTTATAATTTTTAATTTGACCTTTGACCTGAATTATTTCTAAATCAGTACAACTACTTACCTTCTGTTTATTACACTTAGTATTTTTATTAATTTTCCCTTTGACCGCAAATAATTCTGGAACTATCTCACACATTTCTACATAAATGCACGAATGTACAATGGTTGAGTTGATGACTTCGTCTATAAAGAAAATTTTCTTCTCTGAATTTGTCTTTTTTGTTTTCTTCATGATTCAATGGCTATTTTCGGTACATTGAAGCAGAACAAGAACCCAGTGTGCGTCGGTAGCACAGCGATTAGGACGCTCGCCGACCATGCACATGGTCCGGGGTTCGATCCCCGACTGACGCACTCTTTTACCTCGCTAAGCTAGCAATAGAACTGGTAAAGGGGGAAGGTTGGGCATGAGGCTAGTAACCCCATCCTGTAAAAAAACACTGCTACACAAACTTCGAGCCTCTAGCTTGAAGCCATATGTTCCACTGGGAACATAAAAGGAATAAAAAAAAATAACCCTGTGATAGTGAAAGTTTTCTGTCAAACTTGCCATAGCGAACGAAACAATCATTTTTTTAAAGTGCTGTATTGATAAGAAATATATGATATTTATTATAATAAAAGTATTCTACATTTCCTAATGAATGACGGAAAACAAAACTATATTGTTGTTTTTACTGACGTCTCCCTATTTAATGCTGCTGCTAATAGCTTTATCAAAGTAGTATTATTCAATCAGAATTTACAAAATCCACTCAGATTATATGTATAACAACTTAATCATCGTTCATCAGCATTGGGCCATTTTTGAGTTGTCAAGCTGGCAAATTGGTAGAGATAACAAAACCAGGTAGTTGTAGATTGCTGGATTTGATAAGTGTTTAAAACTGTACAAGCAGCGTGTGTTTACATGATGAAATTGCTTATCCCATTTGTGTTCATTTTGTCATTTCATGGCGGCAGGGAGGGGTGTTGTAACCACAAGAAGAAGTTTAGTAACAAAGATTTTTAAGTATTGATTCCCAATATTTTGATTGATATTAATAAAGGAAGTACTGGGTAACCAGGACGTAGGACTAGACAGCCGTTTCGTCGACCTAGTTTGAGACTCTTCAGCATAACTCATCTATTCAAGTTCAAATCAAAGAACTTCAGGTTATAAGGTGAGGTCGTTGACTGTTAAATCTAACAGCTCATGAAATCTGACTGAAGGCGATTCGAGATATATATTGTAGCCGGATAATCGTCTGAGAAACCCCTGTGTAACAATCTAATTACAATACTGATGCTTATTAGGATGTTTCAACAACCTTTGCCTATAGTCTATTGCCTTCATCCTCATTATTTGTTTTTATTCCTGTCTAATCTCTAATTTTAACGCTTCTCATTGTAGTTGTGTGACACACGGATAATGTGTTGTTTCACGATGCTGTTATTGTTTGAATGAATGAAGGTTACTCTGCTGACCTAGGACTGTCTCCTTCTTGATACTTGCTGATGGAAATTTTACTTGATTTTCAGACACTCCATACGGTTGATTCTAGTTAAATAACTCTATTATACAATACTGGTTTTGCACTCGAGAAAGAATCGGATCTATGTAACAGCTGCCTAGCGCGTAGAATTTACTGTGAATGACCTTCTTTTTGCCGTCATTGGGGTCTTCTTTGGGTGTGAGTAACTCAAGGAAGTTTTGTTCAGACAAAAGTAGTTGAACGCAAAGATCGGTTTCTTGTATTCCGACAAAAAACATGTCGATTTATGTCGTTACAGATACAGAGCAACCGCCAGCCTATGTCACCATCGAGTAACTGTGTCTGTTTGCCTGAGTTAGTGGACCCTGCGACTAACCACGACTTCTCACTGAAAAGAACTCCAGACTACTTCCTCTGTATATACGCAGTTGCTAGCCAGGATCAAATTAATTCATCCTCAAGTACCGGTTTACACGGAGATTTGACTGTCTCTAGGTTTGATCATGAACAGATCACGAGACTACTTCTACAATCTTTGAAGGGTGAATGACTTTCAGGATTGTTGGAGCAAAAGAAAAAACAGAAAAATTACCACAATTCTTGTTTGATTTTTCTCCCTTTCTCAATATAATAATTACTCGTTTTTAAAGTACTCAATTGCTCTTGTTATTTCTGATAATTAATTACTTAACATCTCATTGGTCAATATATTTCGTCGATTCTGATTGGTTAAGACAAGAAATTAAGTAGGATTTTTCAATTAACTTGGGAATATAAATATATACATATATGTATCTGAGCAGTTTTCATCAACTTTTATGACAATACTCCCACATGAGTCAAACATTAAATGAATAAAATTTTCTGGATGAAATAGTGATGTTTTACATTTAGAAACGAAAAAAATAAATAAATATATATACATATATAGTTTCAAATAAATGAATTAACTTTCTCAGTGAAAACGGGATAAAACATTCTCAAATAGATTTGAAAAATATACTAAATTTCCTATTTTCTACAAGAACAATTTATTCCAATGAATACATCCTTTGTAAATCATAGTCATAGTAATCATAACTTTAATACAAATATCACATCAGTTGGTGGTATGACTCCTACAGTGAATTCTTCAACACCTGGCAGTGAATTTCATACCCCGCCTGCTGAGTTCCCTACAAATCCCATAACAAAATATTTCAGTATTGAAAAACAAGTTGCCAGTTGTGGACCTGAATTAATCTGGAAAGTGTATGATGCTATAAGACGTCAGGATAAAAAAGTGAGTCGAAGAAAAACACACAATTATTTTTTTCGGTAGTTTCGTTTTATGAGTTTGAATTTGTTTAAGTAGACATTTTTGTAATTGTATGATTAGTCACGAATTAACTCCAGTGAGGGAACGCATGGAACTCTTCAGTGGTGGGCATACACCACTGCATCCGAGACAAGTTATTGTCGGCGAGTTCGATGATCATTCTGCTACTCGGATGAAGTCAAATAGTCAGGCTATTATTTCTCACTTCCGCTGATTCGTGCGTCGGTGACACAGCGGTTGGGACACTCGCCGACCGTGCACATGGTCTTGTTTCAATCTCCGGCCGATGCACATCTGATATCAGTGGTCGACCTGATATATTTGGGCTACCGATATCACATGTTCTGTTGAGTCAAGCTATAATATATATATATATATATATATATAATGCAACTGCCAGTGAGTGGCATCTGCAAGTATTAGGTGGGATGTAAACGTCGGTCAGAAATAATCATATGCTGTCGCCATAAACCACTGATGAAGCAGCGAGAATGATATCAACTATTCGTCGGTTTCAGGAGATTTTGTATTCCTCAATAGACGTAGAGTCTCGCCTTTACTAAGTAAATTCACTTCAAAACACATTGAGTCCTGAGTCACAAAGCAGTTCCTCCGGTATTTCTCCTGTGAAAAAGGTAGCACACCGTTTTAATAGGCAGTGAGTGTTCTGTTTGTTTACTTACAAAGGCTGATAGCCCTCAAGCTGTTGTACTTTCTCTGCTTCTGTCTTCTTTCACTTTTACATTACCTTCCATATTCGCTTATGGCTAATTTAATCAAATATACCGATGACTTGACAATTTATGTCACAATCGGTTGTGCAATTATGGGTTAATAATTAATGGTCTTACTCAAATTGACCTAAACTGAATTCCTTTCTAAATGTCAAACTGTGAATTTTAGTTTCAGATATTAACAGGACTTGGGTGGGTTGATTTAGTCTCATGATTCTTGTAATATTGACAGCATTGTGGTGGTAATTATACTGCATATTTTACTTTCCTCAGCATCAAATTCCCTACCAATTGTTGTTGATAATCTCACATCTTTTCGATTTCCATAAAAATCCCCCATTTGACATAATACCTAAGAAAAAAACGGATTTTCTTTGAGCGGTAAAAATACTGCTCTGTAGAATAGACCTTATTTTTGATTGCACACTAGTCAGTAACCAGTGTAATGTGTCTAGTCCTATCTTCGGTGCAGACTGAATTCTATCAGTCATATTTGCAATGTGGCCACCATGCTAGGTGGCTCGCCATCACGGTGCACTGTGGATTGTTGGTATTAGATGGTTGAAGGCAATCGGCAGGAAGCCTTGGACCTAGGTCCCGTGCTAGTTGGCACTCATCAGCAAGGCGTATCTGCAACTTTGAAGGAACTGATGTCCCTTCTGAGATTCGAACCCGCGTCACCCAGTGCTGCAGTCAGAGACGTTACCACTGAGCTATTCAGGTTCACGATTGAACTCCCGTAGGACTGTATTGGATATTTTTAATTGCACACTAGTCAGTATTTAGTGTATTGTGTCTAGAGACATCAGTTCCTTCAAGGTTGCAAATACGCCTTGCTGATGAGTTCCAACTAGCACGAAACCTAGGTCCAAGGCTTCCTGCCGATCACCTCCAACCATCTAATACCAAGAATGAACCTTATTTGTAAAACTTAACCGACAAATCAGGAACATATTGTGACGACAAAAAACCCAACTAGTTGTGGTCTGAACGATCTCTCTGTTCTAGTGTATAGCTGTCCGAAATCTTCCTAAGAGACGCACAGTCACAAAAGGTTTCTTAAATAGCAAAATGACGATTATTCACTTTTCAAATCTATGCGTGGTCCTGATGAACAATAAAGACATCAAAAACTCAAAATTACTCCAACAGGGCAGTTTGGCTATTATGCTCCATTGTTTCATCCTAGTTTGGAAATCATCGGCTTTACGCACGCACTTCTACCAACCACTGATTCTGTACCGCCGATGAATCCCAAGCACTAGGATGGAGGAAACAGCTGTCCAGCACTCCAGTGCTGGTTTTCAATGGTTCTCTAACTGATATCAATCCGTGGTTAAACTAGTAAAAACAAATCTAATCCATACAAACCAAACTTTTGAAAATTAATCTGACGCTCGCTAGTGACTTGCTACAGGACGGAGTTTCCTGAAGTTCTAGTGAGAAGTCGTGACCAGTGAGGTTTATCCAGTCAACTTTGAGGATGGAGTCCCCATCGATGACATTGGTTGGTGCCAGTCGCCCTAAATCAAAAATCGGTGGAAGTTAGAATTCATGCACTGGCCACTGAATTGGGTCCCAGTGGATGAATGGTATACCAGCTTGCCATATAACCGGTAGGTCCTGGGTTCTAACCCTGGCTGTGGGTGAGTACTGCCGATGATTCCCAAAGTAGGATGAAACAGCTGTCCAGTACTTCGGTACTGGTTTTCCAATGGTTCTTTAGCTGATATCAATCCGTGGTCAAACTTGTAAAAACAAATCTAATCCTTACAAACAAACTCCTGACAATATGGTCTACTTAATTTTCACAGTACAAACAAATACTTAGAGTCAGTTACAATATTTCCAACAAGGTGTGATCAAAAATTCTGCCAGCAAGAATCACATTGTAATAATTCGCTGAGACTGTCTAAGGTCAGAATGACCTTTATCCACTCAAAGAACATCACATTATATAATATATTATCAGTTTATTGGGCAAGCTCAAATAATAAGTATCAAATCAACATGTGATATGCAGTTGAGAAGAACAATGCTATATAGTCCAGGAGGATATTATTATTTGATATTGATTCCTTTAGTTCCCGGAGGAACATAGGGCTTCAGCCGCACGTCTCCATTGAGTTTGGTTCTCTAAAATGGTTTCCACCTAACTCCACGTCTGACTACATGCTTTCATCTCCTCTTCACATGACCTCCTCCATGTCAATCTCGCAATGACGACCAACTCACCGCTTTCCGTTCGAGTTCCACTCACTGGTCAGTCCACCTCCATTTCTTCCAGCAGATATGTTGCACAATAATCTCTGCTGGGTTGGTTCGCTCATTGCCAGAGATCCCTGTGGCTGATCTATTCTCGCTGGCCATGTGATCCTGAGTATTGAGATAAGACAACTGTTGATGAAGGTCTGTAGTTTGTTTAAAGTGCTCTTCATGACGCGCCAAGTCTCTGATCCATAAAGCAGCACTAACTTCATACTGGAGTTGAAAATCCGCGTTACACAGTGCTACAGTCAGAGCTATTGGAGCTCTCAGGAGGATAGAGGAAAATAAATACAAAGTATGCTGAAAAGTCCAAATAAGTACAAATGTTGTGATTATATATACATATACGATTATATATATATATGTATATGATCGTATGTATATGGGAATAAAGACATATTCAGTTCCCGTCACTATGAAAGTGCTGGCTTCATGTCTGTTAACGTCAATGAATTATGCCGGTTTCGCTTCGACCGAGAATCAGTTCACTAAGATCGTTTGGAATTAAACTTTTATATCGTTGGAAGCAGTCAAATGGAAGTTTTGAATTAAGGCTTCGTGCTTGCGACCATTCTTCATCCTCCTGAGATTCGAATCAAAGTCGCTCTGTGCTGCAGTCAAACACTTTGGCATCGGGTCATCCGGACTAGCAATAATAGATTATTTTATCGGACACTAGTCATTTAGTCTCTCATGTCATGCTCTTTTTTCTCCTTGTCACTGGTGCAGACTGAAAGCTAAGCCAGTCAAAGTCTCTTGACGACAACCAATAACCTGAGGACTAAACTCACGCCACCTAGTGTTCAAATAAAATACGCTGAACTCATCAGAAAGCGTACATAATTAGTTACATCAGAAATTTCCAGAATAGAACATTTCTAACCGTAGTTAACATAGTTGGATACCATTATTATTTGGTATCATATTTCAAATATGAGATAAGCTGTTTCAAATGACATGAGATTGTCAATAATAGCTGTAGGGTGTGTCTCTAATACTCCATTCATCTAAAATAACTACAATTCAGATTTGTTCTAGTTATTGTCATGTAATCGAATACATAGAAGTGCAGAGAAAGGCATAATATATGGCAATGATACATATATATATAATCCAAAGTAATATATTATATTATATCCAAATATATTTTAAGTTAAAACATCTTGCCTACTAGTACGAAGCCTTTGATAATGTTTTACTATTCAACATCAATTTTATTCGGTGGATCAGAAGTAGCGAAGGAACTGTGAGTCCAGATTTCGTAATATTTGGGACTCATCAACTGGTAGGGTCACTAGGCCCACAAAATCAACGCACACAGACCAAATACTCAACTCTAGTAGTAATAAGCCAATTACTTACAAAAGTAACTGTGTGCAGATATTGTTTAAAAGAGTCCAAACACACACTATAGCACTGCTCCGGTGATAGAGAGAATAGAGGAAAAATACCTACTAACCAACATTCTCACAATTTCATCAAAAGGTTTTTAAACTCATCAAAGACCTCAGGAAAATTCCACCTATCATACAAAATGCTATTCCTGAATTCACGTTGAGAATATTACCAGCGTTTGAAATGAACACAATATAAAAGCCAACACAGTTACTTCAATCGATATTGTGTAAACTAAAAGACCCAACAGAAAAATAAGATCAAGTCAATACCATTTACAAAACAGATGTGTGGTATACATCACATCGAATCAGAAACCAAGAACATAAATTATCTGCCAAAAGACATGATATGTGTTATGTCATATCAGTGAATGTAGGCAATCACAGACGCCAGTTTAGACTATGAAGACGTAGCAACGTTAGAGAGATACATTCAAAGGGGATCCAAACAAGTTGACCATAGTTGGGAATGTTCTCTAGAACTAATAATGAAAGCTTCACAATTGACTCAACCAGCTCAGAATAAGTTAAATATCTCACTGGGTATAAAATTTTGGCTAAAATTATAATCCACACGTATAATTACAACGTTAAACGATGGGCA